TCTACTTTTTAATTCATTAATTGGTTTTGCGTATAACATGCGATTAATCACACTCAAACTCATGCGATTAATATTTTTTATTTTTTTGCCCAGCCCTAGTAAATCCGTTGGTGTCTCTGTCCAATCAGAACCTTCCCCGCCCCCAGACGCTCACACACATTAAATAAATTCAATTCAGAATTATTATTTCCACGGAAACTCCTTTTAATTCCAAAACTGTTCAATTCGAATTTAAAAAACAACAAATGTAGAATTTGAAAACGATCAAAGAAGGTAACCATAGAAACCAAAATACTGCTTTATGATGTCACACAGCAGACTCCAACCAAAACCACTGCACTTACCAGATCACAAACCGCGAGCAAACAGGCGACACACACACGTTTGACTTCGACGTTTCTGCGTGAGAAGATCTGTTTATCCATAAATCCTTCTATCCATCCATCTCTCTGTCTAAAGAAATGGATAAAACCAACTTCACTGACTCGGTGGTGTGTGATTCGAGACTCTCCAAATCACTGCCACCGATCAGCACCGACTTTAGGGGCCTGATGTGCCAGAACCAAAGAACCGGCAAACGGTCGAACGGAACCAAAGGAGCAGGGAGAAAAAACAAGAGCAAATCCCGAGCGAAGGTGAAGGAGCAGAGCTGGGACTTTGAGAGCGCCTACATGTCCCTCCTGGGCGAGTCACAGGACGAAAGCACCGATTTAAACTCTCCAGAACTGAAATGTCCCAGTGCTGGTGTTAGACTTTCACCATCTTCACCTGATGGCAACTGGCTGAAGACGTTTAACAGTCCAGCTCCAGAGCCAGAGTTAAAACATCAGACTCTTTCAGATGTCAGTGCTGCGCCACCCTCAGCATCTGACACACGAGGGGACGATGAAGACGAATTCTACGTTTCTGAACTGCTGAAGCAGAAAAGGGCAGAACGCCAACTAAAGGGGAACAAACCCAGAAGGCGTCAGTCCAGTCTCATACCTGCTCCTCTTCTTCTCCAGAGTCTTGTGCGCCTGGAACCAGAGCAGGTCAGCAGTGAGGCGGTAGAAAGCTCTGGACATTTGGAGGGTGGCTCACCAGGAGACAATGAAGTTCCTGAAGTCCCAGAGCCAGAATTAAAAAGTCCCAGTCCTGCACCAGATGGTTGCCCATCACCATCTTCTCTGGACGACAAGTCAGACTCATATGAAAGTGACTTTGACAGTTTCATAGAGTCAGAACTTCCTCAGATGCTTTCAAGAGATGACAGGTCAACATCTCTCTCACTTAATGAGTCTGAACCTCCCGCTGACAGCTTTGTGCGCTTGGAAGAAGAGCAAAAGTCTGTGGAAAAGGAGATGAAGAAAGAGACAGACTTGTCGGGTTTGGAACAGACTTCTGCTCTGGATCAGAGTTCTGAGGATTCCACACGAGGGAAGAACCTATGCTCGGATACTGGAGTAAATTATAATGAAGAGATGGAGACAGATCACGAGGAAGATGAGAAGAACGATGATGAGGGGAAGGCGGAGCGCGGAGAAACGCAGGTGCACCGCTCCAGTGTTTCACCTGCCTCGTCCGTTTCATCTGACGCTCCCGAGCCTCACGACGCGACAACATCTCGTGTGACGAAGAACTCGGAAGCGTCTGAAGCATTTCTAGAGTCACTGAAGAGACGTGAGGAAGAGGAGGAGAGACGTCTGAAGGCCGAGAGCGAAGAGCGACTGGAAACTCTCCGCCGGTCGCTGCTGACGAAGAGGAGAGAGGCAGAAGCCAGACTGAAGGAAGAATCCAAAAGACAAATACAGGCTCTCCAAGCAAACTTGAAAGCCAAACGTGAGAGACAAGAAGCAAAGTTCAGGGAGGAGGAGAGACGGATGAAGGCTGAGAACGAACAGACACTGGAAACTCTTCGTCAGTCTCTGTTGGCGAAGAGAACAGAGGAGGAAGAAAAACTTAAGAAGGAACACGAGAAAAATCTGGAGCAGTTCAGAGTAACGCTCCAGACAAACCAGAAAAGAGCAGAAGAAGAAATCCGGCAGGAGGCGAGGAGTCTGAAGGCGAAGTACGTCAACAGACTTGAGACTATCCGTCGGACTTTGTTGGAAAGGACCAAGGAGGAAGACCGACTCAAGGAAGAATCTGAGAAGACCCTCGAGAGACTCGGAGAAAAGCTCGACACTGAACAGAAGAAACAGGAAGAAAAAATAAGGAAAGAAAACGATGCCTCCCTTAAGGTCCTCAAAACAAAATTCCAGAAACAGCAGGTTGAGATGAAGAACAAACTTAAATCCAGCAACAAAATAAAGCTGGACGAACTGCGGGCTCAGCTGGAAGACGAGTTCGAGTTCGCGGCAGAAAAGCAAAGACTCCAGAAAAACAAGGACGAAAAACTAAACTCTTTCGTAGAACACCTGGAAGAAGAGAGTAAAGCCCTGATGAAGGCCAAGCGTGATGAGATGATGCAGCGCTTCGGCAGAAAGCTGGCTGAACGATTCCAGAAGGAACGTCAGGAGATGGAGCAGGAGCACGAGAAGAAGTTGGGGAAGCTTAGGGAGAAACACCGGAAAGAGAGAGGAGAGATCAGGGAGAAACTTTTGAACGATTTTAGAGACGATAAAGAGAAGCTGGACTCGTCTCATGTCCTCGATTTGGAAAAACTGAACCTTCGGCACCAGGCGGAAGTTCTCAAGAGACAAACAGAAATCGCAGCCAGAGAATATGAGCTTCTGAAGGAGGCGAATGAGTTGGAGAAAAGACGCTCTGAGCTCACGAGCCAAAACGTAATTCTGAAAGCGAAGGAGGATGATCTGTATCGAAAGAGGAAAGATTTAGCAGCTGAAGATGGAAAGCTGGAGTCCCTGCCCGGTTTAATCCGTGAGCGGGACTCGCTGAAGGAGGAGCTGCGAAGATTCAGAGAGCTTCATCGCAAGATCGGGGCCTTTAAGAGCGAAATAAACACACGGCGAAGGGACGAGGCGGATCCCGGAGACGAGGAGCCGAGGAAGAGCAGGGAGCACGGGAGGGACGGCGTGGAGACGAGGCTCAACCTGCTGCAGGAGAAACACGAGCGCCTCAACGCCAGAGTCAGACAGCTCCAGGAAAACGCTGCTAAACCAGTACAATACTCAGAAGTTAAACCACAGAGCGACCTTTTTGAAGCGGGAGATTCTCCTCACAAGTGGACTCCATCCAAACATCTCACGTCTTCATGTTGGGAGACTTACACCGAGACAAAAACCTCTATACTGACCACGTCCCTCCTCTGCAATAACGCAGACCTCAGGGTGACTCGCTCCAGGTGCAGACTTTCAGAGTTTGGAACCAGAGGGTTATTTCTTCACTCTACGCTCGGTGATCTGCAGCGTCTCGATTGGGGCGCAGGAAGAGCCACGTTTCCTGCGCCTGTGTTCTGATACGCACGCCAAAGTTTGATTATTTTCCGATTTATGGATCTTTTAAGAGAATTTAAGAGACGTGTAAAAGGCAGAATTTAGGATTTTACCCTTTACATTTGGCATTTAATGAATCTTAAATCTCCACAAGTCGGATCATCATTTGGAGCATGAACGTATCAGCTGAAACAAACGATGTCTGTTTGTGTGGCCAATAAAAGTGCAAACACAACAAGTGAGACGTGTGTGTTTTTCTGTGTGTCGTTTCAACTCTGTCACTTTTGTATTTAAGAGGCGTGTTTATTTTGAAACCCTGAACCTAGGCCTGTAACGATAACACATTTTGCTGGACGATTAACTGATCAAGAATTTATTGCGATAAACGATAATATTGACATTTTGAGACCAATTTCAACTAATATAAAGACCATGGAATAAAAATGCAAATACACCATTTCAAATATCAATAAACCTTCACTTTCTAAAGAACATTTAACACAGGAACTGTAAGATAAACAAAAACAACAGGCCTAAATAAAACAGACAACTCTGTCACTTTTGTATTTAAGAGGCGTGTTTATTTTGAAACTCTGAACGTTACTTTTAAGAAAACTTCTCGAACAGTTCTTCTCGGAGTTCAGATTTACCAAACTCCACGTGCTCTGATACTTTTAATAAAAATAAGAACAGCCCCCAAAGTCTGTTTTGAGAGATTCAGCTCAGTTAGTTCTAATTAATCACCAACAATAATGAAACTTGATTGATAAAGTTACAAAGAGTGGATTGTATTTATTTTATTTTAAGACAAGCTGGATGTGACTTTAGTTTGTTTAGTCGACGTAAATGGATTGATGACGAATAAAGATTTTCAACAGGCAAATTTTAAAATATCAGTTTCCGTTGAACGTTTTTAAATATTTACAAAGTCAGGTGTGTGTAAATCTGTGTGTAGTGTTTATATTAGTGCTGTCAGGTGATTAAAAATTGAAAGATAAATTAATTAATTACAGATCATAATTAATTAAATTAATCTCTTTTTAATCTCACCTAAAAATTGCTGAGAAAAGCTTCAACTTGAGGTATTTTCATTTAAATTCTTTATTACATTATTGTGGCAGATCAAAAGACTGATATAGAACAAAAAAAAAAGTGACTTTAGAAAGTCATTTATTGTTTGACAAACTTTAACAGATGCAGTCACTTACATTCCACAGTATCATTATTATTACTATTACTAATCTGCATAAATAAACTCAACTTTACAACATATAAACATGACGACTCTAGATCCACTGAAACTGTGAAAGTGAAGGTGGATTCATTCATTAACTGTCCTGAATAGTTTTAGAATCACCTTTTTATAATCTTCATAATTATAAGATCACAACAAAACGTCTGTGAGATGAATCCACAACAAAGTGGGGGAGGACGTTCTCTCTGCCACACACTGGGATGTACTCAGTTAGAAAATCAGCTTCTATTTGATAATAAAATGAAACGTGAATGTACCAGACCAAATATCGGGTCTTATTTATGTCATTTTACCAAACTTCCCAAAGCGACACACATTTCTTTCAGTTTGTAATATCACTATAATCCTCATTTACTGACAGAAGTTTACTATAAAATCATATTTTCATCTACTGCAGGAGAGTCAAACTCATTTTGTTCCGGGGGTCGTGTCCAACCGACTTTGATCCCAAAGTGTCCGGATCAGAAAACTCATGTCATATAAACAAAAATAACAATAAGTTCAAATATTTGTGCAGAGAAACACAAATCTATTACAGAAATCTGTTTTAATTGATGAAATCTTTTTTTTTACAAAATATTATAATATTATGAACAACCTGAAACTTTAATAAAAATACAATTTCAACCATTTTTAACATGAACTTGTTTGTAAATAGGAATAAGTCCATTTTTGTTGTAAAATCCTGCACTCGGCTCCACTTTTCTCATGTTGGACATTTTTCTGATGAGGGTTCACGGTCAACAGTCAAAACGATCGTCCTTTAAGAGCGTTTGGAAAGAGACAAGTCTTCATTTGTGCTGCTCTGGTGGGAGGGGCCACGTACAGAGACGCTGGAGACGCTGCTGTGATAAACACCAACAATTTTAATAGAAAATATCATTCAATATTTTAGTAGAAAATCAGCCGAGGGCCAGATTAAAGGTCTTGGAGGGCCGGATCTGGCCCCCGGGCCGTATGTTTGACACCTGTGATCTACAGCGTCTGTAACTGTTGATTTGGGAAGAAATGTGAATTATGTCCTTACCTGCAAAATAATTTTTATTTATTTATTTATTTATTGATTTATTTGATTGGGACAGAGCATGTTAATGGACAAACATGACAACATGAATGTAAACACACCGGATTGTAGACTAAGGATCATTTCTATCTGTTGTCCCAAAGGGCTGAGGTCACAGGGGCCAGACACACAAATATTGCACACTCCACTCATTGCACATTTCCCATTATTGCACAGTTCCCATTATTGCACATTTCCCATTATTGCACATTCCCATTATTGCACAGTTCCCATTATTGCACAGTTCCCATTATTGCACATTTCCCATTATTGCACATTCCATCATTATTGCACAGTTCCCATTATTGCACAGTTCCCATTATTGCACAGTTCCCATTATTGCACAGTTCCCATTATTGCACACTCCACTCACGTCCATAGTAAAACAGTTCAAATCCCAGTGCAGCTGCACATGTGACATGTTTAAACAGCACAACACAAGAATCTTTAAAAAGCCACAGAATTTGTTCAAAAATTCAGAATCACTTTTAGGAAGGTCACATGTGTTTCACTGAAATATGTGAGATAAAATCCTGAAATAGTTGTGGCATTTTTATTGAGCACACAGACGTTTGTCTGATGGACGAGTAATTTAACAAACTGTATTTACTCTGTTTGTGTTTTAGGCCACATCATTTTTGCATGTTTAGTTTGTTTGTTTAATATATTGTAACTTGCATGTGTGATTAATACAATATATACAATGAAAAACATGCTTTATTTATTTATATGTATATAGATTAACTAACTTCATAAAGGGTATAATTCCCGTTTAACCCTGGAGTTAAAATCTGTACAAACGTGTTCTGTTTTTGTCAATTCTTCTGGACGTGTTTAAAACGTGAACTTTGAACAGAAATGGGCCCAAGCAGAAGTAAACAACAAGACCAAAAACTCAAGTGAATTCATCTGATATAAAAGTGTATTGAACAGATACATATGTACTCGAGTTTATCAAACTGTTGACCTTTTTCTGTTCCATTTTTGGTTGTAAAGTTCCATGTTTTAAACAGACCATGAATGAAACATGGAACAAAAATTATTTCCCAAATTTCAAAGACCCAAAAATCATGTAACTAAATGGATGTATTTGATCATATCTTGTGTTATTCCATCTTTGAACTGTTGATGAAGGGACAGGATTTAAAAAAAAAAAAAAAGTATTTAAAATGATAAAAATGTTCTTGGAAGGACTGACATATTTTATAGAAATAGTTTCTTTCATTTTGAAGTAAGTGGCAGTAGATCAGTTGGTGGAGCGTTCGCCCACTGATCTGAAGGTTGGTGGTTCGAATCCAGTTCTCGACATAAAACATCACAGGTTGAGTGGTCAGATCCACAGGAGCTGGTGTGATTCCAGCTCCCACAGATGATGTTTTTGTGTCCTTGGGCAAGACACTTAACCCACCTTGCCCACAGTGTCTGTGTGCACTGGTGTGTGAATGTGTGAGTGTGTGAATGTGTGAGTGGTTCCTTGTTGTAAAGCACTTTGATTGAAGGTGGAAAAGTGCTATAGAAAAATGTGACCATTTACCAATATTCAAGTATTCGGAAGAAAAAAGTGACAAATGATGTAAAATCCTGCACCTTCTACTTGTTTGTACAATTTTCCCTCCGTTACTTTTCCCTCCGTTACCATGAACTTTCTTAATAAAAAATCTCATGAGTCAAAAAGTCAGAGGTTTTTCATCCTAATCTTGTACCATATGGTAGAAAACTATATGAAGCAAATATTCAAACCAGTTTGTTAAGGATATGGAAGTGAGAACCAAGAGTTATCACTGTTTGGATTTATTGACCAAAAAGTGCTGCATATTTCATTCCCTCCGTTACCAACATGAGTTTTTTAATTTTTTGTCTTGAACTTGAAAGAATCTGACAGGTTTAACTTGACCCTGTTGGAGTGTAACTCTTTCCTACATTCTGATACTTTACTTATTTCAATAGTTCCTCTAGTTTCTGAATAAGACACATTTGAATGTCAAAAATCTGACCCTGTTTCCCTCCGTTTCTGCTTGAGCCAAATCACAAATCAAAATCATAATCACGTTTGTCAGAAATTGGAGCTTTGTTCTTTTGTACTAAACTGAAATTTCCCCCACACAAAATTCCCCTGAAATGAAACGAATTCCTGAAAATAATTTGTAAATGTTTAGAAGCTGAAAGTGAAATTTCAAATGAAGTCAGATTGTTGTGTGTTTTGTGTGTGTTTTGTGTGTTTGTGTGTGTGTTTTTGTGTGTTTTTGTGTGTTTTGTGTGTTGTGTGTGTTTGTGTGTGTGTGTGTGTGTTTTGTGTGTTTTTGTGTGTTTGTGTGTTTTGTTGTTGTGTGTGTTGTTGTGTTTTTGTGTGTGTGTGTGTGTTTTGTGTGTTTGTGTGTGTGTTGTGTGTGTGTTTGTGTGTGTGTGTTTTGTTGTGTGTTTGTGTGTGTTTGTGTGTGTTTTGTGTGTGTTGTGTGTGTTTGTGTGTTTGTGTGTGTGTTTGTGTGTTTTGTGTGTTTTGTGTGTGTGTTGTGTGTGTTGTGTGTGTGTTTGTGTGTGTTGTGTGTGTGTTTGTGTGTGTTTGTGTGTGTTGTGTGTGTGTGTTGTGTGTGTTGTGTGTGTGTTGTGTGTGTTGTTGTGTGTGTGTGTTGTGTGTTGTGTGTTGTGTGTGTGTTGTGTGTGTTTTGTGTGTTTTGTTGTGTGTGTTTGTGTGTTTGTGTGTGTTGT